ACCACAACCAATCCCATTTTTTTCCATTCCAGACTTGGGATCATTCTTCATTAGACACAAATTCTCAGCAGTGGCAAAAAGAAAGGAATTCCTGGTCTCAATTGGGGTAGTTCAGGTGACTACCTATAATAGCTACCAATTTCTTTGCCCAAAAACCAATTCAACATTTACTTTTTTTTTTTTTTTTAGAAACAAAAGTTCTTCAGTTAGGTTATGTCCCATTAGGATATACTGGCAGTGTTTGCCATACTTAAATGTAGTAACTTTTAAGACCTGATTCAAACAATTCACTAAGCTATTATGAAAAGATTTGGGGATTGTGGTTAGAGGTCATTTTTGGCAGTTTCAAATGTAGAAAAAATACCTGATAAAATATTGGGGGGAAAATAAACTGTTCTGAGATTTTCAACATATTTCTCATTACTATAATTGTTTTCACATATTGTGGTGAGTCAAAATGTCTTTACCTGGCTTTTATTTAACGTATGAACCCAACCAAATGCAATTTCAATAAAAACATGATTTAAGCAAGTCATTGCTTACAATCAGGAAATGTAGACTAAGAGTTTTAAAATATTAGGTTGGGCAGACATACCCGCACGGAAATGTCTGTCTCAAACCCAAACAGACGGCTAGAATATTTTTAGTAAGTATAAGGAGTCCATACAGTAACAGTTCTATTATTTCTTTTCCAGGATAATGGTGACTAAGTTGGGTGGGAGATGAGTGGGAAGTGGTTTCACTGACTCAGCAAACAACTGCTTTAATGAAATCAGCTGCTTGTGACAAGTATCAAAAGATAAGTAACGTTGGGAAAATAATGTTGGAAAGAAAACCCGGCAAGAAAAAACAATAAAGTAAACTTTTCTGGGAGAGGTGAAGAAAACTAATCTGTCAGTACTTAAAATCTTTTCAAATCTAGCAGGGTGCTGAACAAATTGTACGAATAAGCAGCTGCTTGACAAAGAACTACAGTAGTTCAAACTGAAAGTAAATTCCCCAAAACACAGCCTTCTCACAAAGTCTGATGCAGATTTAAACAGGTGCAAGACCATCACAACACTATTGGCCAGAGACTTTTCTTTGGGGCTTAATGGAAACAAATAAAAGGAAACGTCTTATGGAACTTTCCTTTTATGTATGATAATAGAAGTGAAACTTTTATATGCACAAAGGCTGAAGGATCTACAAATACCTACAATGGAAGAATGGATAATGAAGTTGATGGAATTGGCGTAGATGGTGAAATTGACAGTTTTAATAAGGAAAAGACCTTGAATAATTTTGTTTCTCCTGGGAAACCATTTTTGGATTTGATTTAGGAGTATATGAGACTATAGAAATAATATAGACAAATGTTAACCTTAGGATAAGAGTCAGATGTATTTTTATTCATATCTACCTAAGAAAGTCAAGAGTCATTTTCCTTTTTTCTTTTTGCATCTCTATTTTCTTTTTTTCTTTCAGAAACATTTTCTTTCTTGTCAGTTTATATTTTAACCTTCTGTTTTTGAAGATCAAAAAAGTTTAAAAGATCACTGTGGCACAGCTCTCAACTCACGTTTATTCAAGTTTATAAATATTTTATTTTTTTCATTCTGTTGCAAGCAATGTAATTCCTCCTTTTCTAGATTTACTATCACCTGGGACTTTTCCTGAAGCTATTGAACATGCTACAGTGTGCAAACATATAACCTGATTTCCTTAAATAAAAGGACTCCTAGTATTTAATGCTTCAGAGATTGCCTAGCGTTGAATCTGCTGCAAGGATGACAGCATTTGCTTTTTACTCAAATTCCTAATATATCACCACAAGAGTTGCAAAACTTTTTTTCAACTGCCATCGCTCTGCACAGGAAAACCTACTCTTAATTTTAGGATTTTCTAAATACATAACATTTTCTTATACATATTAACACAAGCAATATACATACACATCTCATTTAGAAGACTAGGTATTTAGTCTCTTTCTTCCTCCTATTTTCAACACAATAATCCTGTGAGATGAATTGGGCTGAGAAAAAGTGACTCGCCCACGGTCACTCGGCCGGCTTTCATGCCAGGCATAGGGCTACCTAGCCATTGTTAGTACATACCTAGCAAAGGAAGCCTACCACTCCTCTCAGTAATTGGTGTCTAACAATAAATTGCATTGATTGCTAAGCCTATTTCTTCTAGAATTCAATATCCTGCTTTCCTGTAATTCAATTTAATTGTTCTGAACTCTGGAATGAGAGACAAAAAAAAAATGATGTTTTCTCTGTGATAACTTCTAAATGATTTGAAGAATGCTGTCATGTGTCCCTAACCCCCAGTCCATGGCATACATTAAAGTGTAGTGCACAATACTTCAGATGGAGTGTATCCCAAGGAGGATAAAGAGATTTGGGGAAAAATACTTCTGTTGATGCAGCATAAAATTGCATCTTCCTTTTGTTTTTTGCAAGGCCATCATACTGCTGATTTATATTCAGTTTGATATTGTTTGAAAACTCAGTTGAGTGTCCATCACTCAAGTGCTGAAAAGCACCTATAATTTCATTTGTTATGCTATCCTCTTGTTCCCGAGGAGCTCAAGAGTTCTTCCCTTCCCTATATCTTTATCTCTGTCCTATGAGACACTGATAGTTGTCATTGTGCTAAAGCAGTTTGTTTAACTATAGATAATCCAATCAAACCACTTATAATTAGCATGATGTGTGAACTAGTCAATGACTAGCTCAAGGTAAGGTTTATAGAGCTAAATAATGATTTGCAATCAGAGCTTCATACTCCAAACCAGTATTGGTTCATGTGATTGGCTCATGTCAGTATGTGATGTCATAGGAAATATTCAACAACAATAACAAAAAAAAACCCAAACCCACACTATTTCACCTCAAACCCTATTTCCACACACTGCATTGTAACTCCAAAATTATTTCACTGGGTATTATTGGAATTACCATCCAAAACATATAGAGGATGCAAAGTTGAATAAGTGCATTTATTTAAATTTAAAGGGTCCTCGTTCAAATGAAACTTATGGCCCAGTACTAAAGAAGTGAATTGGGAGATGTATAGACTAGATGTCAAGGAAGCAAAGCACATTCTCATCAAGTAGAAAATCCCTGGCATTTCCAGTTAAATGAACTTTATGTAATTGATAGGGGGGGAAAAAGACTTTTGCCAGTTTTATCCAAAGTTGCAGTGTGTCGAAATAGGCAATATTGAAAGGAATGACTGGCCTGCACTATAGCAATTTCCTGTGTTGCGTGAGAAGTACCCTATTTCCCCAAATATAAGACCTTCCCCGGATAATAAACCCAATTGAGCTTTTGAGCACAACCTAAAATAAGCCCTGTCCTAAAATATTTAAACACATGCAGCCAGTCCACAATTCCTATGGGGGAAGGGGGGAACATGCCCCACTTGCACCTGCCATCTATGTGGAACGGCTTCTTGGAGACCGTTCCCACAAACTCTAGCTACCGCACCCCTTCTCTTAGTGGCCGCCACAAAAAGAGGAGCAGGCCCAGCAAGAGTGTGCCAGAAACAGAACTTCCGGCCCTCTCTGGACCAGCTGAGCCGCAGGCCAAGGTTAAGGGGCCTCCTGCACCTCAAAAATAAGACCTCCCCAAAAATAAGGCCAAGCGTTTATTTCGGGGGTCAAAAGAAAATAAGACCCTGTCTTATTTTCAGGAAAACACGGTACATTCCACTGAACATTGGATTTATTTAGGTGAGTTCTCAGGAAAGTATGATTAAAACAATCCCTATGTTCTCACTGATCTCAAAGAAAGGAAGCATATGTGGGGTAGTTGCGTGGCCTTGGATTGTAGATAATAGGATGGCCTTTTTGATCCTAGGTACACATCACATTTCCTAGCAAACTGTGCAAAAGAGTGCCTTGCTAATAATTGTATTTTCAATTTCAACTTTGACTTAAGCAAATATAAAAACAACCTTCACCAAGCTACAAGAATAATTTGCTATGGAAAATTATGCACAACAGGGAGCTCATCAGAACAAAACTAATTACAAAAAAAAAGGTCTTAACACCTTGAAAAAGCACCTTTGGGGACTCCATAGAGGCTAAGCAACTTTCTTCTTTAAAAATGATACCATTTTTGGCCCCACTTACTGGCCTCTTTTAAATATTTAAGCCACCAATGAAGAGTCGTCCGTTTTATCACTCACCCTTGGTTTTTTTTTGGGGGGGGGTGAGGGGGGAAATCACAGCCCTGAATAATTTATCGAAGACCTCGATTAAACCCTCGCGTCACGAAAAGGAACTCACCAAAGTAGGAAGGCAGAGGTGACCTTTATATTTCCTGGAGGGTTTTGCAATTCGCCTCCCCGCGTATGCCTTGGCACACGTCGAGGTCGCATGGAAAGGGCAGGGTTGGAGAAATCAGCAAACCCCAGGAGAGACTCATCGTCCCCAAGGCACTTCGAAGGACGATGAGACATCCACGAACTCCCCCCCCCCGCCCCGTCGGTGGGCGGGCTGAAATCGAGCGCACAGCGTTTCTCCCCCCACTCCACGTCTCCCCATTCCGACCACCCTGGGACTCCACAGCCCAGTCAATTCGACATGTCCGCTTTCCAGACGGGCAGCCGCTTGGTTGCTCCGCGCATGCCTAGTTCGCGCTCAGAATCCTGCTCTTGCCCAATTCCCAAGTCCTGCAAGGCTCCGTTCACACGTACACCGGATTATTATAAGTGTATCCTATTAATATAGCATTGTTTAAAAGCGCGCAGCTCTCGGCCCAGCCATCCTGGAGACTTCCTCCAGCCTCCTAACACCCGGAGTGTATATATTATACATGTATGCATGCATACATACAAGCACTTCAGGGTGACCCCAGCCGGCTGTCCCCTCCCTCTCCCTCCAGCCCTCTGGCACCAGCGCTCGCCCGTCCCCTTTCAGCGGCCACAGAGCCCGCGACGCGACGCCTTTCGTTCCTTCGCTTTCTTTTCGCCCTCCTCCTTCTCTTTTTGGAAAAAAAAAAAAAAAACACGAAGGGGGCGGATCGACCGCGTTTCAGGGCTGGCGACGGCGGCGGTTGCTGCTGATTTCTCCGCCCACGTCCTCCTACCCGTCCAGGGGAAGAAAAAAAAAACAGGGAAGAAAACAAAAAAGGAAGTGCTTGAGGCCGGCTGACGAGCTGGGCTGGGAGTATTTTGCAGTCCGTCAGAGAGGACGTCGGGCGGCTTGGTGGTTTTTGTTTTCCCTTCCCTCCGCCGGCATTGCTCGGCGTTGCCACGGCCGCTTTCTCCTCCGCTGCTGGGCATCGGATAGACAGAGGGGGAGGCGGCGGCGGGCAATCAGAAATCCGGGAAGATCCGCCCCTCTCTCACACACACTCTCTGTCTCTCTCTCTCTCTTACACACACACATACACACACACCCTCCCAGGGGCATCAGCTGGGCATTCCTGGGCTCACCATGGTCGCGCTCTATCTGCTCTTCTTCGCCGGTCGCCTGGTAGCGCCGGGGGGCGCCTTCAACCTGGACGCGGAGAGCCCGACTGTATACTCGGGCTCCGACGGCAGTTACTTCGGCTTCGCGGTGGATTTCTTCGCCCCCGACCGTTCCTCGTAAGTCTCTTCTCTTGCCAGGCGCGTCCCTTGCAAAGCGCCGCTGCAAACGCTAAAAAATAAAAAATAAATAAAAAAATCTCCGCCGCTTCCCATATAATTTTTAGTCTATTATATAGAGAGCTAGGAAACGTTTGGGTGAAATCCCAGGAAAGTTCTTTAAGGGAACTGAACTGGATCCGCTTCGGTCCCTCTTTTGAGCGCTTGGATAGGATCTACCTTTGAAAGGAATTGCCGGGCGATTTAGATTAGCAAGGGTCGAAAGGGAAAATCAGATGTAGATTATTATTATTATTATTTACCATTTGCCATTACGACTCCCAATGGACCCAAAATTTGTGTCGTTGGGTGAGAAATTGTTTAAAGTGGATTTGCTACATTTTGCTAATGGTGCAGTTCTTACATTAATTGCACTGTCGTTAAGTGAATTGGCTTTCCAGTGGACTTTCCTTTGCAGAAGGGCGCAAAAGAGGATCACATGACTCTGGGAACACTGCAAAGGTCATAAACGTGAGTCAGCTGTCAAGCATCCGAATGTAAATCATATGACCATGAGGATGCTGCGACGGTCATAAGTGTGAAAAATGGTCATGACTCACTTTTTTTCCAGTGCTGTTGTAACTTTAAATGGTCACTAAATGAACTGTTGTAAGTCGAGGACTACCTCCATTCTCCTGAGACCAAGCACCCTCCTTGTCAAACCAGATTAACCTTTGTTTCATTAAGATCTTTTGCCTACATTTTGAACTGAACATATTTCAGCCTTGAGGATAAGCACTGCTCTGTTTGAAAGGGAAGGTAAAGTACTGTAATCCCACCGATTTCAATGGAGTTTGCTCCCAGGTAAATGGTATGGGAATGCAGGCTTCCCTTCCCCTTATGGAGAAGCAGAAATAAGAGGATTTGATAAAATCCAAATGCACTTTGTAGATTGAAGTCTTCTTATCCAGTCCGTAGAACAAATAGTCTTTGTAGTTGGGAAAGATAGCTGTGCTTAGGTGAAGAGTGATTAGATGCTGTAAAACACGTAGAAGATGTGGCTAATGTTTTGCTCTACCGACTTAAGGACTTACATTCAAAAGCACTTTTTATTCATAATAATTTGTATACAATTTTACTGTATGCTCCGAGATGTGACAACAAATCCTAAAGTACCAGATGCTTAGTTTTGAAAAAGAAAACAACACTGTGTATATCTGAGGCTAGGACAGTATTGCAATTACTGTACATTGAATGATTCACTGGTTTGATGAAATAATAATACATTTTGTGCTTCATTGTAAAGGGGGGGGGAGCAATAAGCTCCCAAACAAGGAAAAATAAAAAAGGCCGTTGAAAATAAAAATAATACTCCATGAATAGAACTGTTTCTCAGCAATGCTTCTTTGAATATTTGAACCTTTGACAGGAATCATGTGTAAACATATAAAAAACCTCTTTCAGTTTATAAAGCTGGTGCCTCACTGAACATTGTTTTCACTCAAAGCACTCTCAGTTCAGTAAATTCTAATTTATTTGACAGTGCTTCATTTTGATTATGGTGGCAAAAAGTTCAAAGTAATGGAAAAGTGGGGAAGACGATGCCCCAGGAAAAATTGAGATATTTTCCTTAGGCTTCTGTTTCCATAATTACTGATAACTTCTTATGCCCCTTGGAGTATTTTTTTTATTAGAATAGAATTTCTTACTAGTTCAGTGTTTGAAGTGAAGATTTTAACTATGAGTACCGGTAATATTTTGAGTGTAATTATGTTTCTGTGTGCAATGACTATATTTGCTGATATGGTCATACAATACGATTTGCTGTCCAATATCCTCCCCCATAAATATCCTAGAGTAACTTTTAGCCTAAAGCTGCATTTCTAAGAGTTTTTCCTGGCTGTTGAGTCCAAGTACAGTATTTGAGTCAGAAAACAAACAAACAGCAGAAACAGCCCAACAATGATTGTTTCCATTGCTGAGTCCTATCTGCCTGTGCTTTAACTCATGCAGTCACCTGACTTCTCTCATGGCAATAAATGACAAAGCCAGGGGTGGGTTCCTGCCAGTTCTAACCTCTTCTATGGAAGAGGTTCCACAAATCTACANTATTACCATCAACTCTCTCTGGTCTTTAACTTCATTCTGCTTACAGAAAAGAATAGATTTATCTATCTATCTATGTAGCAATAGGGCGAGTAGTAGATTGCATGTGCAAAAAATTGAAGTGCATATCAATGATAGCAGGGATATCATTACAATTCTGTCTTTGCTGTTTCTTGGCCCTGGATTGGCTAAATAAACACAAATCACTTTAAAAACATCTTTTACTGGCATAAAACTACCTACTGCATGCTATTCCATCACTGGCAGTTCACAATATATATATTCTGAAACAGTACAATCCATTTAGATTCTTCAGCAAAGTCACAGATAATCTCCTAAAAATTTATCTTAATGTCACGCATCACATATCAACTCTACATTTTCATGCAGGATTTCTCTCCAATAATTATGCCAAAAAGGCTACCCAGATGGTGTGTGCTCCTTATTTAATTTTACACTTATGGCATGTGTCTGATCCATTAAAACAGTCAGTCAGCATAGTTACAACGGCATTCTTTGCTTTGAAGAGTGCCTGTTAAGCAATTCTTGGGTTAGTTGGTTGACCAGTTGGCCAGCTAGAATATGAGTAGCACTGGTACTGCTTTCACAGAAGAGTGACATGGGAAGGAAAAGAAAATGGAAGTTTCCAAATGAAAAAAAAGAAGAGTGGAATATAAATACTTGGAATATGAAACACGGGAAAGCCTTTGCTAATTTCTTTTTGTTATATTTATCAGATATTTAAAACTTGGGTAGATTTCTCCCTCATCTCCTAAAATCTTCTACAACATTCAGCATGACTTACACAGATGTTCAAGGGCTCATCAATTTTCCTTGTAAAAGATAGGGGTATGTCCATAGCTGTTACTATTGAGGTTGGATAAATAGGACCTTGTTATACAACATTGGAAAAGACTATTTAACAACAACAACAACAACAACAACAACACACACACACACACACACACACTTTTTAAAATTCCAGGTAAGCCAAATAACAACCCAAATTTAATTAGAAAGCACACATTTGTTTATTATTCCTTGTATGCAACTGAAGGGCATGCCGATACAATTTAAAATTAAATTATAAAAGTGTGTACATGCTTAATTAGATCCAAACTCATAATGGAATCTATATGTTTCCAAGACATTTTCTCCCATTTGTGCTCAAATAAAGGTTTAATGAGCATTAATGAAAAATTAGCAACCAGGAAAGCAAACTGCATATGAAATTAGTTTTCTGTATATCCTACTGTGGCACATCCTTCAGCATTTCCAAGATAAAGTAAGAAGAATGAACAATATCAGAATATGTTTTACAATCTATATGATCCTCAACACTCCAGAGAGTAGGGATTTTGGTTCCTTTATTTTTTCATACATTCTGCCATTAATGCACTGAAGGAAAGCTAAGCTAAGATTCCGATAAAGTGGCTATTTGGTATTTGGAAGCAGGTTTCGGGTTATTTGATTTCAATCTTGATGGATATATTTTCACATCTCCTCCTGCTCAAAGCACTGTAAGTCCTTTTGCTCTGCTGGTTAAGTGTTTATACGGGAATGGCGCTGACAGAAATATTTTATCTGGACATTTATTTGA